CTTAAAAAAAAAAAGAATCCCTGATCTAAGTAACTCCCCAGCCCTGATGCCATGCCCACCATTACCTGTGTTCTCATGGGTCTGCACCAGCCAGTTAAATAAACTGGCATCTGATTCCCTACATTAGTCCAGAGCTTGGTTACTGTGAAGCCTTCACTGGAAACAGGTTTCCCCCAGGTGTGCTGGCTAAACAGGCCAGCTGAGGGCCAGGCTCTGGGCCCTGAGGAATTCACTGAGGTGGTGAATTGTTTCTTCCGGAAGCCTCTTGGGTGAGGACAGCCTGGCGGCGTCTCTTCACTGGCCCAGCAAACTCAAGCCCAACTTCATTACTCCCATAATTTGCAGAGGTAAAGTATTAACACGAGAAACAAAGTATGAAGCAGCGAAATTGCCTACCACAAATTCTCCAAGAACTGAGCTCTAGAGCAGCGGTTCTCAACCTGTGGGGCGCGATCCCCTTTGGGGGTCGAACGACCCTTTCACAGGGGTCGCCTAAGACCATCGGAAAACAAAAAGATATTTACATCACGATTCATAACAGTAGCAAAATTACAGTTAAAATTACAGTTTTATGGTTGGGGGTCACCACAACATGAGGAACTGTATTAAGGGGTCACGGCATTAGGAAGGTTGAGAACCGCTGCTCTAGAGGGACAGTGTACTGTCCTTTATGTTTCTGTACCCTTCACTGTGTATGCCACGGACATAGCTGACTGCCTACCTGGCATCCATTCCCCAGATCTTGTTCCTAAGGAGCCCCACTTTGGTTTGGCTGTTTGCCCGTCCTCCCTTGGAGACCCATGCCTGAGGGGGATGGGCTCCACCTTCAGCTCCGGGGCCCTCTGATTTACCGAAGTCTAACTCCTCCACCCCCTTTGCCAGGGCGCGTCCAATAAAGGGCAAGGGCCCCGATGTCATCGATGAGACACTGGAGTTGGCTTTCTTTTCACCTTTCTATGGAAGCATAATAAACATATAGAAAAGTACACACATCGTGTGTACAGCTCGAAAAATGTTCACAGATTGAATATACCTGTGTAACTGGCACCCAGATCAAGAAGCACAATATTACCAGCGCCCAGAAAACCCTTTTCTGCTCCTTTTCATTCACTGTCTCCTCAAGCGTAACCACTATTCTGGACTCTAACGGTGCAGAGTTGTTTTGCCTGTTTTATACTTTTTTATATAAGTGGAATCAAACAGTCTGTACTCCCCATGTCTGGCTTCCTTGGCTCACATTATGTGTGTGTGAGACTCATCTCCATTGTTGTGTTGTAGCTGTAAGTTGTTCACTTCTGTTGCTGTATAATAGCCCATTATAATGAGAATAAGCCAAGTTTACCCATTCTACTGTTGATGAGTGTTTGGCTGCTTTCCAGTTTAGGAGATGACAAATCGTGCTGCTGTGAACGCTTTAGTACCTGTCCATTGACGGACATCTGTGTGCATTTCTGTAGGGTATACACCTAAGAGGAATTGTGGGGCCAAAGGAATGTGTGCTCAATGTAGGAGATGCTGTCGAACAGTCTCCACAGTGAGGGTACCACTGTATCCTCCCATCTGCAGGGTATGAGAGTTCCATGTCCTCATGAACACATCTTCATTGTTACCATTTTGGTGGGGGAATAGTGGAGATTTGGGTTTTGCTGTGGGCTTCAAGTTTTCCTCTCCTTTTTAGAGAGCCAGAGAATATCACCCAGCCCTCCCCCATGGATGTGAATGAGAAGCAATAGCCCAAATGATTATGAGCAGCCAATTGCTGCCAACTGCAGCCAAGATAAAAAGAAAGAATTAATGACATCATTAACTCAATCCATTACCTTATGGTTTCAACGGCTGGTTGCTTTGGCTTTTCTGTATCTATGTCTAAAAGCATCTTTGGTGTTATCTTCATGAAGCACTTGAGTCTCACAACATCCTTACTTCATTTTTCTGATGTGGAAACTGATCACCAGTAAAATTAGATTATTTCCCCAAGGCCAGGGAGTTGGCAAAGGGTAGAGTTGGGACTGGAACCCAGGATTTCAGATGCCCAGCCTACTGCTTTTGCACCCACACCATGCTGGCTCCCCCTTTCCTAGCAGGCACTACAATTGCCTGCTCATTTTCGTGTAAATGACTGTGAGTCCTTTGATCACATAGCTGCCGCTTTTCAGTGATGCCCAAAATATGTAGCTAATATGCAAAGAGCCATGCCAGCTAACAGAGGGACCAAGCATCTTTTGAATGAAAACAGAGCATTCGCAGCTGTCCCCTTGCTGTGCCCTGATATGAGGAAACTGTCAGCTACTGAGGTGAGTCCCGAGTCCTCCAGTGAAAAGAAGGGCTGATGTATTTTTGTCATAAGTCACTAATAAGGAAATGAAAATGGTGAGAAGAGTAGGAGCAAAAATCATAGTAGCACATTCATCTTCCAGCCAGACAGAGGCAGGAGCTGTAACCATCAGCTTCCCAACGTTGAAACTCCAAGTGTTTCCCCAAGCTTTGTAAAGGCACACCCCACTGATTCAAGCACTCAGTGGAGCAATGGAAGATAATTCGGTGACCTGAAACCTCTCCCCACTATAAGACAGCCTTTGGGATTCAGCCTAACTGCTCTGCTGACACACAGCATTATAAAGCATTCGGCAGTCAAATGATTCTCATAGCAGGGCGGTGGGATTCATCACTGTCCCCTTCCAACCATGGTGGGTTTGTCTTCAGGACCCAACTAATGAAGTCGCTTCTGGAGCAAAGATTCTAATGTTTGCTGTAGGGCAAGCAGCCAAACTGCTCCTGCCTCTTCAAACCCTTCACTGGCTTCACACTGGGACTCTAATGACATCCGTAATCCTCAGTCTGGCCTTCAAGGACCTATGTGACCCAGCCCTGTGTATCTCTGACCACTAGTCTTCAGACACACTGGTCTTCTGTCTGTTCCTTGAACATACCATGTTTTTATGGCCTCAGGGACACTGCGTTTGTCATTCTTCTTCTGGAACTTTCCTCCCCAGCTCATTGTCTAGTGAGAAACTCATTCTTCAGTTCTTAGTCAATTGTCACCTCCATGAGCCTTTCCCAACCACCTTCTCTGAAGTAGCACCCCCATCACGCTTTATCATGTCACTTGGTTTATTATCTTCCTAGTACTCACAGAAATATGTAACCACTTATTATCTATAAGCCCCATGAAAGCAGTTACCCTGTCTGTCTTCTCACTGCTGTGTCCTCAACACCTAGGGCAATAGCAGAACCACAGGAGATGCGCAGGACCAAATGGTGAGAGAATAAAAGACAACCCAGTTGGGTATGAATGAGGGACGTGTTTTTGTTCTCTCTGCATTCTGCACGGAGACCATTTTGCTATTCACTAGCTCCTTTGCCAAAGGTATGTTCCCAAGAAAATAAAACACAGAGAAAAAATAAAGTGGGGGGAAATTAGTGGGAAAGGAGATTATAACATATATTAAAAATAAGATTTGAGGGGCGGTCAGCTGGCTCAGTTGGTTGGAGCGCAGTGCTCATAACACCAGGGTTGTCGGTTCGATCCCCACATGGGTCACTGAGTTGCGCACTCCACAACTAGATTGAGACAGCTACTTGACTTGGAGCTGATGGGTCCTGGAAAAACAGACTGTTCCCCAATATGTTCCCCCAATAAAAAATAAAAAATAAAAAGATCTGAAATTATCTGTGGGTTTTTCCCCAGACTGTCCCCCAGGAGGCTGCATGAGACAGATTTTGAGGCACATGGAAAGGCTATACACCACATGATCTTGGAACTGTATTTTTCTAAAAACCACACTGTAAGTGTGACCAATATATTGTTCAGTAGTAGACTGCTGATGAGACCCTGGGAAGCCATGAGCTTGGGAAGGATTTGATGTAAGCGTGTTACCCGTTCTCCTAAGCATCTATATGTGGCTGTTGGCATGGGGTGGGGTGTACAAAAACGACTGCCACCAGTTCAAAAATGGCCATGCAATAACTTGCCACGCTCAAGCACAGAGTGAGTAACTCGTGTTGAGAATCCCAACTTCCAGAAACCTCTGCTTCAAGCTTCCCGTTTTACAGATGAGGAAGCCTGAGGGGCAGAGTTGGCAGGTAACCTCCTCAGGGGCACAGAGGTAGTTAGTAACAAAATCAATCCAGGCTGCAGTCTTCAGGCCCTGCCTCGGTCCTTGCATCACATGGCAACACATCAGGCAAATCCAGCCATAGGCAATGGACACTTTCCCATCAGAACAGCAAAGCACGGCAGGAAGGGGCGGGTGCCCGCAGGAAGGGCCTGCAGGTCCCCACAGCTCGCACTCCGGCTGCAGGAGAGGCAGACAGAGATGAACACAAACCAGCGGCTCCTTAGGAGGGTGCAGATGCACGGCTTCCCACAGCATCTTCACGGAGGTGCCCTGAGCGGCACGCTCAGCCCTGAGACCAACTGTCCCCAACCCTCAACGGCGCCCCAGCCTCAGAGATTTCAACCGGAGCCCAGGGGCCCGAGGGCCTCAGAGGAGAAGCCAAGTCTTCTCGCCCACACCCACGCCGGAGAGGGAGTGACGGTCTCCCCAAACCAGCACTCAGCGAGGCCTGAGCGAGACCGTGGGGGCTGGAGGCGGCGGAGGGGGCGGGGGAGGAAAACAGGAAGAGAAGGACGAGAAGGCGGAGCGAAGCGGGGACGAACACCCCGTGGGTTCCTTCCTCGGAATAGGAGGATCTCGGCTCGGGTTTCTAGGGAATGGAAAGCAGCTGCTCTCCCCAGCCCCCGGGTCTGTCCTTGAGCCCTAGAATGCGGGCTCTGCAGCCAGAACCCGAGGACCCGCCGCTCCCTCGCAGGCCTCCCCGGGGCTCGGCGCCCGCGGGGAGTGAGGGGCGGCCGAGGGGCTGGACCTCGTCGAGCCCGGGAACACAGCCCGGGTCCTGGCCAGGGGCCGGGGCGGGGGCGGGGGACGGCCCCAAGCCCCGGGTCTGCGCCCCCCTTCCCGTAGGGTTCCCCGCGGCCGCGAGGCCCGCGCCGAGCCTACCTGTAGTAGCGGTCATCTTTGAAAGGCGTGAGGTCCTCCTTCAGCTCGCGGTACGCCTCCTGCAGCCGCTTGCACAGGTGCTTGAGCTCGCTGCAGAGCGGGGGCTCGAAGGGGTACTCGGCGTCCATGCCCGCGCCGCGCCGCCGCCCGGCCAGCCGAGCCCCTCGTGCCCTCCTCCCGCTGCTCCGCCCTTTGTGTCGCCTCCCTCGCCCCCTCTTCTCCTCCCGGCTCCGGGGATCCGGGGCGGCCAGCGCGCGGGGCGGGGCCGAGGAGGCGGAGCAGGTGACGGGGGAGGTGGGGAGGGGGCGCGGAGGAAGGCGGGGGCCGGCGCGCTCGGGTGGCGCCTGGACGACGCGGGGGGGCGGCGGGAGGAGCGGGGATGGATGGGGTCCCGCCGCCCCCCCGCGAAGGGCCTGAGGAGAGGAAGGTGCCGCGCCCATCAGCCGCCTCCCTGCCCAGGGAGACGGAGAAGGAACTGGGAGGGGGGAATCCAACACCACACGGTTATCGCCGCCCAAGACAAAAATATAAAGGCCACTCTCACCATTGCTCGTATTGGGAAACGGGAAACTGGGCGAGAGAAGAACGGAAAAGGGGGCTTGGGAACGGACCGAGAGCCCGAAATGCTGGTAGGGTCAACGGCTAGAGTCGGCCCCCGCGTTCAGCACCACGGACAGCTCCCGGGCCTGTTTTCCCCTTTCTTGGGTTCCACTTGGCCTAATGCAAAAACACTTAAAACCAAGCCCATTATGGTTATGTCATAATAAATTTATTTTTTAATGATAGAATGTGTCCAAGCGAGATGTCTCTTCCCACAAGTTCTATAGCCACGCGCACACACAGAGTCTGTGCAAAGAGGCTCTCATCCTTTACAAACTCGACAGGAGTGTGTAAAATAAAAACCCACAAATCAACACGTCTTCCATGGACTACTTATCCAAAGATGGTGTCATATCCTCTTGAGAATTTTTCCAATAATCAGTGGAGAAGCAGTTGTTTCAGGTGATGTCAGTGCGTTTCCACCTGCATCCGGCACAGGTTTCTATGCAAGACTGATCTTATATGCATTGCAGGAACCTTTTACAAATATACATTTTGGGGGGGCCCAACTTACACTATTGAATCTAAATTACAGAGTATGGGTCCCAGGAATGTGCATTTTCCAAAGCTCCCCACATGAGTCTGACCACTCACGTTTAGATATTCTCAGATTTCCCTCATTTTCTGCTACCGTCACCTATGCTCTAATTTCACCCACTCTTCTTATGGTCATATTTTATTTCCTCCCTCCCCTTACATTTTAGAACAAGTTTTTGTCTGCTAGCCAACCTCTCCTGTCAGCCGAGCCTTGCAAATAGTCCCATAACTTCAGATCACCCTGCACTTTGCACAGTTAGGTGTTTGCCTTAATTCATTAATATGAGCATTTGTATTTAATCATCTCAGGAGGACAAAGAATGGAGCTTGACACTGGATCTCCCCAAAATACAGTGCAGAGAGGAATGCTAACAAACACATGCAGGTTTGTTTTCTGTAATGAGACAGAGACTGTGAGACCAGTATATGCTATATTTCAAAATTTTATAATTGTCTACAGAGAGCTCATCAGTAGTTATTAACCAACCTCAAAGATACCCCAGAACACTTAAAAATCCTCTGGAGGGGCCGGCTGAGTGGCTCAGTTGGTTAAGAGTGTGAGCTCTGAGCAACAGGGTAACTGGTTCGATTCCCACATGGGCCAGTGAGCTGCACCAGAGCTGAGCTATTGCTGAACTGCCAAGAGGTAGCAAGAAGGCTCAGCTGATGAGAGCCCATGTTCCTAATAACAAGATTGCTGGTTCTACTCCCACATGGGATGGTGGGTTACGCCCACCTGAAACTAAAATTGAACACGGCACCTTGAGCTCAGCAGCTGCGAGCTGTCTACAGGGGGCTGGATGGTGACTGGACTTGGAGCTGAGCTAGCTGTGCCCTCCACAACTAAGATTCAAGGACAAAAACTTGGCTGTTCCCCTTCCCCAATTTCCCCAAACTGTTCCCCTTCCCCAATTCCCCAATTAAAAAAAAAATCCTCTGGCAGGCTTCGCTAACTTCTCTAGCCTAGGCTTTTTCCTCCTTTGAACTACAGCAGCCCCTAAAGGGCAGTGCAAATCTGGCCCCAGCATTGTGGGGTACTAATCTACCCTACCTCTTTCACCACAAGGAGATATGCTAGATAAAATATCACATATACACACATGCACACACTTATATAACGACTATGAAAATGTTATACACAGCTGAGCCATATAGTATACTACAATTACTTTTCCTTTTCTGTATATTTTATTTCCATTATGGTTATGTCATAATAAACATTTTTTTTCTTTATTGGGGAACAGTGTGTTTTTCCAGGACCCATCAGCTACAAGTCAAGTAGTTGTTTCAATCTACTTATGGAGGGTGCATCTCAGTTGCCCATGTGGGGATTGAACCAGCAATCTTGATATTATGAGCACTGCGCTCTAACCAACTGAGCTAACTGGCCGCCCCCATAATAAACATTTTTTAATGATAAAGGAATGTGTCCAAATTAGATGTGTCTTCCCACATGTTCTATAGCCACTAAAAAAAAGGGGGGAGGGGGTAACTTATTTCTATCTCTATAAACACTTAGGTTAATTTAACTTGTTTCTCCTTTTGTTTGAAACTAAGAACAGTGTGAAAAATGCCAAACCAAGAATAATTTATTGAAATAGGTGTACTAAATGGGACTCCAAGAGCAATCTTAAACATTAGTATGCCCAAGTTTTTCTGAGTTAACCCCAAAAAAGAAATACATGGTCTGACAATTAAGTTTGTGAACTTATTGCAACGATGTTGCTAACCTTTTTTTTAAAAAAATATATTAGAGGGATTATTCGCTAGAATTTGTACCAATTGGACAAACATTTAACCAAGTTTACTATTTGGAAGTGCTGAAAGGCTGCATGAAAAAGTTAGACGACCTGAACTTTTTGCCAACAATTCATGGCTCTTGCATCACAACAATGTACCAGCTCACATGGCACTGTCTATAAGGGAGTTTTTAGCCAGTAAACAAATAACTATTGCAACACCCTCCCTACTCACCTGATCTGGCCCCCAATGACTTCTTTCTTTACCCAAAGATAAAGGAAGTATTGAAAGGAAGACATTTCGATGACATTCAGGACATCAAGGGTAATACAACGACAGGTCTGATGGCCATTCCAGAAAAAGAGTTCCAAAATTACTTTGAAGGGTGGACTAAGCACTGGCGTTGGTGCATAGCTTCCCAAGGGGAGTACTTTGAAGATGACCATAGTGATATTCAGCAATGAGGCATGTAGCACTTTTTCTAGGATGAGTTCATGAACTTATTTGTTCGACCTTGTCCTCAAGTGGCTAAATATTGGTGATATAAGATTTGTCAGTTCAAATACCAATTTCCTAGAAGGAGAAAGGGGAATAAAATGAAACTGTGTCAGGCATTTCTTAAATGAGATGGTCTATTATTTCCCTTTTTGATTTGGTCCTTGTCAAATTCACCATTTTTTCCAAGAACTAATTTTGAAATCATGGACCCTCTTGAACATATTTTTTGGTTTTATGTTCATTAAATTCTGTTCTTATCTATCTGTTTCCTTCTTTTAAAAAAAAGTTTTTCTGTTATTTTTCCAATGTCTGAAGATGTACTTTGCTCACTAATTTTCAATTTTTGTTTCTATGTAAAAATAAGCATTTATGGCTATAAATTTATCTCCAAGTGCTATTTTCATGACATTTCACAAGTTTTGATTCATTATCATACAGTTCTTCTTTGACCTGTGGGTTCTTTAGAATGCATTTCAAAATTTCAAGTGTTTAAGCAATTTTGCCTTTTTATTATTGATTTATACCTTAAATGCAATATGTTACAAGAACATTGTCTAAATGATAGATTCTTTGAACTTTGTTGATACTTGCTTTATGGCCTAGTACAAGCGGTCAGCAAACTTTTGAGATGGAAAAGCCGCCAGGGGTCGGCAAACTACAGCTCATGAGCCACATGCAGCTCTTTAGGTGCGTACATGTGGCTCTGAAGTAAAATTGAAAATGAAAATAAAACTATCATAGCTTCATTTATAATATTACTTTAAATTTTCCTTATTTGTAAAAATATATTTATGGCTCTTAAATAATTTTTAAATTGGCTGGCTCGTCCAGGGGTCGGCAAACTTTTGAGAAGGAACCCAAAGAGCCGCATGTGGCTTGTGAGCTGCAGTTTGCCAACCCCTGGTGTAGTATATGATCAATTTTTATAAATGTTCCATGTATGTTTCAAAAGATTTTGTATTCTCTCTCTAGTTGTTGGGTGCCAAGTCTTACTCATGTCCACAAAATTAAGTTTTTGACTGTAGATCTATCATTGAAAGAAGTATTTAAGCTCCCATTAACAGTGGTGGACTTTTCAGTGAATTCCTATGGTTCCATACATTTTTGCTATATATATTTTGAGGCTATTTTAAAACATTCATTATGGAAAATTTCACACATACTCAGAAACAATGTCTAATATAATGAATCCCTTCACCCACTCCCCATCCACGTACAGCTTCAGTTATCAACATTTACCACTCTTGTTTCATCTATTCCCGCTACCATTTTTGTTGTTGGGATGCTTTAAAGCAAATCCCAGATAACATTTCACTCCAATACTTTAGTATGTTTCTTTTCTTTTCTTTTTTTTTTAAAGATTTTTATTGGGGAATTGGGGGAAGGGGAACAGACAAGTTGCTGTCTTTTTGTTCTTCAGTCTAGTTGTGGAGGACGTTGCTTCACTGGCCCAAGTTGGCACCACCATTGCGCTCTTCCCAGGCGAGGCAGATCAGTCGCCGGCTTCTGGACGGCCGCTCACGGCGGCTGCTGGCCACTCACGCTGGCTGCTGGCTACACACGGTAGCCCATGGCAACCCACCTGCGTTGCTGGTGACTCATGGCAGCCCAGCTCCAGGTTGAGCTATTGTTCAGCATCTTAGCTGTAGAGGGCAGTGTCATTGGCCCTCATATGTGGGATCCGAACTGGGGCCCTCTGGTATCCCAAGCCGGCTCTTAACCATCGCGCCACTCGGCCGGCCCTAGTATGTTTCTTTAATAGATAAGGACTTAAAACATAGAAACAAAATATACTGAGGCCATTATGGTAGGCGCCTACAAGTGAAGAATTGCTTGATGTCAGGTCCTCCTTTGAGAAATTTTATCCCTCTCCAGTTTAGTCTTTTCTGGAAGAACACAGTCAAGGTGTGTGAAGCAGCTGCCATGAACTCCTGTATCCAGTGGGTCCTCAGTAAGCGTTTGTGATAACTACTTGCCCCACTGGAATCTTCAGGAAGGGCCTTGGGAAGTCAAGCTTGCTCAACAGCCAGCAACCCTGCAGGTAAAATACTTTGGCAAGATCCCA